GCAATCCCATCTCTAAGGACGATAGTTCACGTAGTGACGAATAGCACTGCTATTGTGCGAAAGGCAATGTTAAGATTATTAAATTAGGTTATAGATTCTAGATTCCATTTTTTGAGTTATTGGATTCTGATTTCGATATGGGATAACTCTTGAGCTTGTGCTTGAATTGCACTTCCAGATTCCATAACTTTAGTTATTGAAATCCGATTTCGACGTGTGATAGCTCTATGAGTTTGTGTTTGAATTCTCTTATATTCTACATTTAAAGTTTTCTTTTTGACGAGGGTCCAAATTTTAACCCATTTTCATGTTTGATTTTTCCGCATTCCAATGGCATTCCGAATGGGGTCCCAAAACTGCACTTCCATATTCCATAACTTTAGTTATTGGAGTCCGATTTAGACGTGGGATACCTCTTTGAATTTATGGCGAAATTCCCTAATATTCTACATTTAAAGTTCTCTTTTTGACGAGGGTCGAAATTTTAACCCATTCTCATGTTCGATTTTTCCGTAATTCCAATGGGTGTCAGAATGGGGACCCAAAACTGCACTTCCAGATTCCATAACTTTAGATATTGGAGTCCGATCTTGACGTGTGATACCTCTATGAATTTGTGGCGAAATTCCCTAATATTCTACATTTAAAGATTTCTTTTTGACGTGGGTCTAAATTTTAACCCATTTTCATGTTTGATTTTTCCGCATTCCAATGGCATTCCGAATGGGGTCCCAAAACTGCACTTCCATATTCCATAACTTTAGTTATTGGAGTCCGATTTAGACGTGGGATACCTCTTTGAATTTATGGCGAAATTCCCTAATATTCTACATTTAAAGTTCTCTTTTTGACGAGGGTCGAAATTTTAACCCATTTTCATGTTCGATTTTTCCGTAATTCCAATGGGTGTCAGAATGGGGTCCCAAAACTGCACTTCCAGATTCCATAACTTTAGATATTGGAATCCGATTTAGACGTGGGATACCTCTATGAATTTGTGGCGAAATTCCCTAATATTCTACATTTAAAGATTTCTTTTTGACGTGGGTCTAAATTTTAACCCATTTTCATGTTTGATTTTTCCAATGGCATTCCGACTGGGGTCCCAAAAATGCACTGTCAGATTCCATAACTTTAGTTATTTAAGTCCGATTTAGATGTGGGATACCTCTATGAATTTGTGGCGAAATTCCCTAATATTCTACATTTAAAGTTCGCCTTTTTAACGATGGTCGAAATTGTAACCCATTCTCATGTTCGATTTTTCCGTAATTCCAATGGGTGTCAGAATGGGGTCCCAAAACTGCACTTCCAGATTCCATAACTTTAGATATTGGAATCCGATTTAGACGTGGGATACCTCTATGAATTTGTGTCGAAATTCCCTAATATTCTACATTTAAAGATTTATTTTTGACGTGGGTCTAAATTTTAACCCATTTTCATGTTTGATTTTTCCAATGGCATTCCGACTGGGGTCCCAAAAATGCACTGTCAGATTCCATAACTTTAGTTATTTAAGTCCGATTTAGACGTGGGATACCTCTATGAATTTGTGGCGAAATTCCCTAATATTCTACACTTAAAGTTTTCTTTTTGACGTGGGTCTAAATTTTAGCCCATTTTCATGTTCGATTTTTCCGTAATTCCAATGGGTGTCAGAATGGGGTCCCAAAACTGCACTTCCAGATTCCATAACTTTAGATATTGGAGTCCGATTTTGACGTGTGTTACCTCTATGAGTTTGTGTTTGAATTCTCTTATATTCTACATTTAAAGTTTTTTTTTGACGTGGGTCCAAATTTTAACCCATTTTCATGTTCGATTTTTCCGCATTCCAATGGCATTCCGAATGGGGTCCCAAAAATGCACTTCCAGATTCCATAACTTTAGTTATTTAAGTCCGATTTAGACGTGGGATACCTCTATGAATTTGTGGCAAAATTTCCTAATATTCTACATTTAAAGTTCTCTTTTTGACGAGGGTCAAAACTTTAACCCACTTTCATGTTCGATTTTTCCGTAATTCCAATGGGTCTCAGAATGGGGACCCAAAACTGCACTTCCAGATTCCATAACTTTAGATATTGGAGTCCGATTTTGACGTGTGATATTTCTATGAGTTTGTGTTTGAATTCTCTTATATTCTACATTTAAAGTTTTCTTTTTGACGTCGGTCCAAATTTTAACCCATTTTTATGTTCGATTTTTCCGCATTTCAATGGCATTCCGAATGGGGTCCCAAAACTGCACTTCCATATTCCATAACTTTAGTTATTGGAGTCCGATTTAGACGTGGGATACCTCTATAAATTTGTGGCGAAATTCCCTAATATTCTACATTTAAAGTTCTCTTTTTGACGAGGGTCGAAATTTTAACCCATTCTCATGTTCGATTTTTCCGTAATTCCAATGGGTCTCAGAATGGGGACCCAAAACTGCACTTCCAGATTCCATAACTTTAGATATTGGAGTCCGATTTTGACGTGTGATACCTCTATGAGTTTGTGTTTGAATTCTCTTATATTCTACATTTAAAGTTTTCTTTTTGACGTGGGTCCAAATTCTTAACCCATTTGCATGTTCGATTTTTCCGCATTCCAGTGGCATTCCGAATGGGGTCCCAAAACTGCACTTCCATATTCCATAACTTTAGTTATTGGAGTCCGATTTAGACGTGGGATACCTCTTTGAATTTATGGCGAAATTCCCTAATATTCTACATTTAAAGTTCTCTTTTTGACGAGGGTCGAAATTTTAACCCATTCTCATGTTCGATTTTTCCGTAATTCCAATGGGTGTCAGAATGGGGACCCAAAACTGCACTTCCAGATTCCATAACTTTAGATATTGGAGTCCGATCTTGACGTGTGATACCTCTATGAATTTGTGTTTGAATTCTCTTATATTCTACATTTAAAGTTTTCTTTTTGACGTGGGTCCAAATTTTTAACCCATTTGCATGTTCGATTTTTCCGCATTCCAATGGCATTCCGATTGGGGTCCCAAAACTGCACTTCCAGATTCCATAACTTTAGTTATTTAAGTCCGATTTAGATGTGGGATACCTCTATGAATTTGTGGCGAAATTCCCTAATATTCTACATTTAAAGTTCTCCTTTTGAGGTTGGTCGAAATTGTAACCCATTCTCATGTTCGATTTTTCCGTAATTCCAATGGGTGTCAGAATGGGGACCCTAAACTGCACTTCCAGATTCCATAACTTTAGTTAATGTAGTCCGATTTCGACGTGTGATACCTCTATGAGTTTGTGTTTGAATTCTCTTATATTCTACATTAAAAGTTTTCTTTTTGACGAGGGTCACAATTTTAACCCATTTTCATGTTCGATTTTTCCGTAATTCCATTGGCTTTCCGAATGGGGACCAAAAACTGCCCTTCGTGATTCCATATCTTTAGTTTTTGAAGTCCGATTTTGACGTGTGATACCTCTATGAGTTTGTGTTTGAATTCTCTTATATTCTACATTTAAAGTTTTCTTTTTGACGTGGGTCTAAATTTTAACCCATTTGCATGTTCGATTTTTCCGCATTCCAATGGCATTCCGATTGGGGTCCCAAAACTGCACTTCCATATTCCATAACTTTAGGTTTTTAAGTCCGATTTAGACGTGGGATACCTCTATAAATTTGTGGCGAAATTCCCTAATATTCTACATTTAAAGTTCTCTTTTTGACGAGGGTCGAAACTTTAACCCATTTTCATGTTCGATTTTTCCGTAATTCCAATGGGTCTCAGAATGGGGACCCAAAACTGCACTTCCAGATTCCATAACTTTAGATATTGGAGTCCGATTTTGACGTGTGATACCTCTATGAGTTTGTGCTTGAATTCTCTTATATTCTACATTTAAAGTTTTATTTTTGACGTTTTAACCCAATTTCATGTTCGATTTTTCCGCATTCCAATGCGGCATTCCGAATGGGGTCCCAAAACTGCACTTCCAGATTCTATAACTATAGTTACTTAAGTCCGATTTTGACGTGGGATACCTCTATGAGTTTGTGGTTGAATTCTCTAATACTTTACATAAAAAGATTTATTTTAAACGAGGCTCAAAATTTTAACCAGATTTCAAGTTTGTATTTTCCGTAAATCCAAACAGCACTTAAAGTCTCAACAGCGTAAGCAATTGTAATCAAGTGGGATACCTCTATGGATTTTTGTTGAAGTTATCGAATTTTACATGTTTGACTTCTCAGAATAAGAATTTTAAACGCCCACAAATTTTTAAAGAGTTATAGCTTAACCTTTTTTGGACCCATAGTTGACGATTCTCTTCCCCAACAAATTATCTTTTTTATTTACGATAAGAACACATTTCCAGGAAAGCACTTATTTGAAAGTCACGCAATAAAACAAGCCAAATGTTTTTCTGAGAGGAACTAATTTTTCCGGTAGTTTCGAGTGCGCAGACAGTGCAACACCTTTTTGTTCAAAAAAGTCTTAATTTCATAATTTATAACGGGCTATAAAAGAAAAGATCCTCACACCTTCTACCTGATGAACCGTGAAACCACTGACACAAGCCATTAAGCGCCAGGTAGATAATTATTGATTTTTAACTCTTAATTTCTTAAGCCTACAATAAACCGATTTACCCACATCTGTAAAAACCTTGAAGCCTTAAATCACGTATATAAACTAAAATGCATGCTCAATACAATCAGAACGAATAGAAACTTTGACGTGTTCAGTTGTCAGCAGTCAAATTTGTATACAAAAAGAGGTACGTTACAAGAGGAATTTCCTGTATACCTAAGAAATTAACTTAAACATTACAATTCAAATAAACCCCTGAATACTTTTTATGTTTTTTTGAATTAGTTTATGTTTTAGATTTCCAAAGTTGATTATTTTTGTGGTATATGTAAAAGTCTCTGTCCTTTTCTTCTTATTGCCCTGATGACATTTGCTTAAACAATTCTGAGTAATTCATGCTAAACACTATTTTTGTTTTTAAAATATTTACTTCTAGTCTGTATTTTTGTTTCATTAGGTTTTACCCATCAAACCTAATGATGTTACGTTAATGTACAGTGAGTAAACATTTCCACATAACTTTTGACCAAAACAATTCTGACTCATTTTATTCGAGTCATAGAATGTCTTAAATCGAGTAAATGTTAAGTGCTTGATAATATTTTCGTTTTATTTTTTCAGTGCTGTGTGAATTATATTTCAAGAAGGCATTTAGTATTAATCTGAGAAATAATACAGCTGGTCATTTCTAGTTTTCCAAAGACAAGTCGCGGTAATAATAAGCTGCGAATAAAGAAAGATGGGAGATAGTGTTGTGTGCAAATCGAAAGAGTCTGAGACATCAATGAATCTAAAGGAAATAGATTTAAGCTGTGTCCGAGAAAAAATAATCAAAGAAGAATGCGAAGAACCTGCAGAAAATGAAGATTCTACAAACAACGTAAGAGCTGGAGATATATTACAGGAAAGAACTGCTGAAAAAAAGATTAAAATGGATGGGAAGAATCCTCAAGAGGTAAACCCAGTTGAGGAGGACAGTTCCGGAAATTTCCTAACATTTCACGTAAAATGTAAGGACCAGGTGGAGAACATTATCCTGCCCTTCGAAGAGACGTTGGACAAACTTCAGGAACGTATTTCCAGTCTGTTTGGGGTCCTTCCGAGTAGTCAGATCTTTCACGGATGTGGCCTATATGGCAATACCAGCGAGGAGATTTTGGATAAGCGCCTAAGTAGCTTGAAACTCTCATCTCCAATCTCCTATCTTACTGTCGAGGAGGTTATGGAACATAAACTGCTTATTAATATAGTAGAAAAACCGAGTGAACGCAAGATAAACCTAAACTTGTCAGATCTCATGAGAGTTCATGAACTTAAACAGTATGTATGTTGCATTTGGAACATTCCTGTGAGGTACCAGGACTGGTCAAATGGACTTAATGACCAGAAGGACGAAGCTACTTTGCGTCAAGCTGGATTGAAAGGGTATGATGAGGTCCTTACGGTTCGCAGCCGGGAATATCCATCCCTTAATAGCTCTAGTTCCGCGTCAAGTGATAAGCAATCGCATAGTTCCTCGGATGAAGAGTCGGATTCGGATTCGGGTTCGATATTCCACGATCGTCACTTTCCGATGACGTCTGCATCATCTCCACCCCACAATGTTCTTAACGATGGATGCTTTTCGTTTGCCTACAAGTACAAAATGCGTTTTGGTTATCCCACTCCAGAGTTCCATACGGGCGATTTTAGCAGTGCCCTTACAAAGACCTATTATTCTCCAGATAGGGTTAGTATTTTCTTCAATTCGTCTATTATTTTAATTTCTAATTTTTAATAATTTCTACTAGAAAAAACTCCTGGCAATTTATTTGCATCATGATGACAGCATTCTAACTAACATTTTTTGCTATAACGTACTGAAGAATGAGAAAATCATAAACTTATTAAAGTCGATGTTCATTGTTTATGGTGTGGATCTGACAAGCACGAAACAAGCTTCTTCCTTTTTCGGTCAACTGAAGGAACGCATCTCCTTGGAGGCATCCAATATTGCCGAAAAAATAGAGCTGGACAAACTCCCAACTTTCATGCTGGTTGGTGAAGATATTGATGTTACTCACACAATAATTTCAATTATTCACGGTGATATTGGTGTGGATGAATTGGAACATAAACTTCTGGAGCAGTATGAACTCCTTATAAACTTATCTTCAAGCATTTGGGATGCAACATAAGAGATATGTTCTCAAGATGGCAATATATATGAAATTTTTCACTGGTTTTGATCTGAATATTATGTTTAAATAAAAAATAAAAATAAAAGAAATGTAATATTCTGGTTCTTTTAAATGTATAAGTCCCTCTTTGGAGATAAAAGATATAATATTATTCTGTTTTTTTCTCTGCATTCCAAAACCCTTGCTCTAGCCAAATTTAGAAGAAAGTGAGCCACGTTTTGTGCCCAACCAAACATATTAATGCAGAGGTGAGTGTGTGTGTCCCATTTAGGTGAAAAGTAAGCACCGACCGCCCAAGCTCACACAAAAACATTTGAACAAACGAGGAAAAAGTGTGCTGAGCTTTTTTAGTTAGCGCCGAGCGTTTATTTTCAATTTGCTAGCGAATTATTCCCACACCCCTGCGTTTTTCCACATACACGTGCAGATGGCCTCGCCCTTAGCCATTGTTTAAGCCGGCTGCTATATTTTAAGGTTATTTTGCAGACCCTAGTCCGCGGCCTTTCCACTGCCATTTTGCTAGCATTTTGCCAGTATTTTCCCGGCATTTCTTGCTGCTTTCTGGTTGCCGGTTCTTATTCCGCTTGCGGCGTTAAGCAGCTTAGCAAAGCGCTGCCAACCGACATAAATTAAAATGGCCAACGCTGCTTTTCCGTTTGTTTCCCTTTTTCCGCTGCATCCGCTCACCCACACACTCACCCACACACCCGCACACACACTACCACTCGTTTTGTTCATTTGCGTGGCAAACAAATCGCTCGAGCGGCAACAAATTGAGTTTCTTTATGATGTCCCATTTGCCGTGTGCAGGTGTGCGGATCACTCGACCCATATGAACAGCAGCGGGCACAATTATAGCACTTCTGAAGTAAAGCCAAATAAAAAAATGTTTAATTTTCTTTATCCTTTATAGTATAAAAAGTTTTTAAATGGTTTTGATTTTCCCTTAAAAATGTATTTCTTTTTGTGACATATTACTAGGAAATATTATCCTAGTAATAATCTATTACTTATTCATTTTGATAGCCGAATATTAGAAAAATGATTTAAAAACTTATTATTAACAAAATACTTATAATATTTCTAAGAACTTAAATGTATTTATGACTTAACATAATTAAGTTGAAAAGCTTACAATTATAAAAAGGTATTATTAAAAGTTTTTAAAAAATCCGTATTTAAACAAAAACGCTAATTTAATTTTCATATTTACAAGTATAGTAAATTAAGTTCAAATTAAGAAACATAAAACTGCAAAACCATACTTAATTAAATTCACATAAACATTTTAAAAAATTCGAAAAGATAGTATTATTATCTCAACCGCAAGAGTATATGCATACGTGTGGATTGGAATAAATGTCTGTTTGGGCGTTGGTTTTCGGGACAGTTTGCGAGATGATTTTTCACTGCGCCCTTTTTGGCTTTTCTTGGGCTGACTTTGCAAAAGCCATCTGTTTGGCCACCGGCGAATAATTTCTTATATCAATCACAATTAATTATGCAAGCCAGCGGAGCGTGTGTGTTAGGGAGTGTGTGTGTCTGGGTTACCTTTAAATGATATACGCCCTGACATTTTTCCTTATTAGATTATTCATGCAAAGGTGCGCCGGAGCTCGGAAAGCGCGTCAACCTCATCAGCGATAGGGTTTCCTCGCCTCCGGGCCTCCAAAGTGTAATTTCACGGTGGCAATAGCTTCTGCATATTTACAAGTAAGCTTTCCTGTTCTGGAAACTATTTGGTGTGGGCTTTAAGGGTTTCCCAGACACACTTGAAGGTAAAGCGATGCTCAAGCAGCCAAGTAATTTTGACCAAGGCTTCGGAAAAAGAGTTTCCATTATGGTGGAAAAGGTACATAAGTAAAAACGAGGCTGGACTACAAGATACCTTTATAGCAAATTTCATAGGATATTAAAATGTCTAGAAAATCTCGAAAACGGAGAAAAGTTTAAAAAATGTGTAATTCTCAAAAATCAAAACTGTCAATAATTGTTCAAGAATATAAATCTATATTTAGATAAAGAAATGAAATTTTAAAGATATATTTAGGTTTGTATACTAGTAAAGGTATTTCCTTACCTTCGGGATTTTTAAAGCCTTTTGATTACCATTAAAAAGTAGGTCTTATTCCCAAATATAAATAAATAATTTCTTTAAAGCTAACTAGTTTAAGTACATATATTTAAAACTGTAATCGTGCAAACCTTGCACCTGGTTTAACTACACCCCTGATACCCATTGGATATGCTCTAAAAAAAGGATGGAGGAGACGCAATGTAATGAAGTGAAAATTGTCCTTAAGCATCAATTTGCGACGGCGACAAGGACCACGGGGATGTCGATGAGACACCGAGATCCTTGCGCTACTTGCTGCGGCTGGCGGTGTACCATGATAATTTGATGCTTGCCGATGCGCGATAAATATAATTTGTTGCACGTCATGTGTATTAACTTTTCGCAGACACTGTCTGTCAGTTGGGCCGCAGGACGAAGGACGAGGGACTCGGGAGGCGTGACTGCACTCGAGGATCTTCCATTATGCAGCCATTTCCGAATATCCCAACTCCACCTCCCCGAAAAGGGGGCGTGCCATGTGTGCTGACCCCGCCCACAAATTGTAATTAAAATTGCATAGCTAAATTGATTATGCATATAATACAGCCATTTCTTTCGGTTATGATGCCCTGGGTCGAGAGGTCGAGAGTATCTGCAGTTGGCAGTAAGTAATTTCCAGCGGGTCGCCAAAGTTCGCCGAGTGGAAATTTTTAATTAAAAGCAAATGCCTTTGAGTTTGAGCAAATTTCTGTATCATGCCCGAAACGCTTGTGGTGCAAGACTGCGGCAGGGATTCACATCCCTTTTGTGTAGTTAGTATTTTCTGTTTTTTTTTTTGGAAACAACCTTCAATTAACTGACCGCCAAAAGTTCGGATTTTCACCTTCACTATTTTGTGGCGAAAAAATACGAGCATGTACCGGCAGAGCAGCGGGATTATGGCTTTCAATCTGGGCAAGATTGCGAGCGAGTGCTGCTGCCAGGATAAGCAAACACATAAGCATTTGTTTGTGCAACACAATGACCCTCTGCATCCTGAATCCTGCATCCTGCCATCCTGATACACGTCATGGGTTAAGCAACAAAAAAAGTTAGGGGTGCCTGGCAACTCTGCATGATGCAATTTTGAATATGTTGCACGTTTTTTTCGCTGCCTCTTGCGGGGGGCAAAAACTGCTCTGCACTCGTGAAAAAAATAGAAATAAAATTGTGAGCAGCGGCAAAGGGAGCTGTGTCAGTTCTGGTAATAGACAGGGGAACAAAAAACACCGGACAGGTGGGCAGGTGAGTGGTTGGAGGTCGAATCAATCCAGAAACAACTAAAAAGAGTTCATATTTCATTTTGAATTTTTTTTTGTTTTTCCCAGAATCAAAGGGTAAACACAGCGACCTCTCCCATTTAATTATAGGCAACCAAAGGATATGACAATACGCCAGTTATACGCCCTTTTGACAAATTTTGGTAGTTATGGTGGTTTTGGCTAGGAATAAAAAGGACCAACCACATTGTAAGTTTGCCTACAAAAGGTGTTTCTTTTATTTTAGGAAACTCACTTGATCTACAAAGTGTTGATGATACACAAGACCCACAATTGAACATTTTAAAACAAAATATTTCATTGCAGCTTTTGGAAGTCATCTAACTTGTTTTCTTTTTGACACCAAGACTCGAATAATGAAAAACCAAGATATGAAAAACATTCTTACGCCTGGAATTTTCTACGTTTTCACTCTGAAGGAATTGAAAGTGCACAGCCAAGCAAAAGCGTTCTGACATGGGAGTCAAAGAAATTCCTTAGGAAATGATGAATTTAAATAAATGAAAACTCAGTTTTATTGTTCTTCCGACTGAATTTTGTGTGGAATATTTGCCAACCCTTTTGTCGGTCCCGCCATTTAGTCGAATATTTGATAAAGAGAAAGGTGTTTTCAATAACAGGCGAATGACTGTGCATCTGATAATTGAATTGCCAACGTAAATTGGTATTTAATTAATAAAGCAAATGCAATTTTTGGTGCCCCCAAGTCACAGCGAAATAACAGCAATAAACACCAAAAAGGGTCCTGTCTGCCAGACAAATTACCATTTAGCATTTGCCAATTCAGAGAGAGACATAATCTGGCCAACAGCTTGGACCGGGCCAAAATACCCGCCCTCACTAACGGTTTTCGGTTCGTTTGGTATAATCAAAGCGTCCAACAAATGAATGTGTCACCTGTGCAAAAAGCCAAAGCTGCCCAGCAGGTCTTTTGCCTCAGAGTGGCCATGCCATAGAAGCCAGTTGGTTTTATTACCCAGCCAAAGGTAAAAGCCGAAAGGCAAAGCCGGCAGTGGCGAAAACATCATCATCCCTAAACAAGTCTGCCCGGCCGGCAAATTGAGGCATACGAGCCATACAAATAAACACACATTTATTCGCACGACGAAATTAAAGGTTATGCCGGGGTACGTTCATGTATTTGCAGTTTATGAACTGGGTTACACTGGAAAAGCACAAAATTCAATTAAAGGTTTTATGAGAAAAATGTATGTAATATAAGTGGCTTTACCGCAAATTGAAAAGTAATTTACTATTATTTTTACGAACTGACTATATTTATTCATTTCAAGCTAGAGAAATATGTCAATTTATATGTATATTAACTCAAAATACTCATGTTTACAGACACAGGTATCCATGGCTTTCTAACACTAGTTCTCTAGGTAAGTCGAAACTTTATGGCCTTATGACACTTGCTAACCTAAAGACAACTTAATATATAAACTCATAAAATCTGTAAGATCCCATTAGTTTTGAATAATTTCAGTCAGTTATTCATAAGTCCAGAAAGTGTCAGAAAGTCTTTTTTAAGTGTCATAGGACCATAAATACTTATGAAACAAGGTCTTACTTTTTAATACAATTTCAGTCAGTTAGTAAAGTTTCATAAGGGGTTACTTAAGTGTCATATGACCAT